TGGTTGCAATTTCAACCAATGTAGGACGTATGTGGAGCTGCAAGTGGGTAGAAGGCGCTCCAAGGTTACTTGGAAATTTGGTCGTACGAAAGAGGATATTGAACAGCTAACAGTCCGTGGCGCGGTTACGAGACTTGTAGGCTCATTGTATAAAAGAGGATATTGAGCATGCGACAATTTGCTTTTGTGGCGTCAAGGGATTTGATCGGTGCAGCCCATGGCACATCAGGTCTAACCTCGTAACTTACACTGTGATACTCGAACAGTGAACTGTTCGGGGATAATGCGAGTGAGGACAGCGACGCTGTCTTGAACTTTCAGAGAGTCGGCTCTCGAAAGCATGGAATTCGGACGGAATCAGAATATACGCCCGTCGTCGGAATTCTTGCCTACTTGGAGGCTAGGCAGGCCTCGGAGTCGGAGTCGACTTCAAAGTTCAAGCCTTTGCCAGTACTAGTAGCGGTTGATTCAGATGAATCAGCCGGCCGCTGATAGCTCCAAGTTCGCTCAATTCTGGAAGCAAGCCAGAAGACAGAGCTGGGCTGAGGTGGCCAAGGAGGTGGTTTGGACGGCGAGAGAAAGCCGATCTATTTGTGCACGTTTGCCTTCTTCGGCCGGCCGTTGCCGAGGCAACCCAACTTGAACTCTTTGCTCTGGACACCTTTCGCGGGGATTCGACGGTCCTCTGTTCATCAGACACCCTCACCAATCGAACTCGAATTTTCTGGCAGCACTTATCACTGCCTGACGATGCAACCGACCCTAAAAACTATTTCTGACGTATCTCGCCCAATTGTTATTCGATTCTGGGCTTTCGCGGACTCGTTCAACTCCCCTGGCTTCCCTCCTTCTACTGCGCACCTCCTCCTTGAGCAGTCGACGCCCTCTTGGCTAAGTGGTTACAGCGCGGCGATAACATTATCTATCCAAGTTCCGTGCCGTTAACGTTGTCAACTTGTTCCTTCGGACTGTCTTCAGTGCGCGCCATTACTACTGTACTGGTACGCAGGTTTATAGATCGTTCTAGAATGAACAATACTTCTCCTGCGTCGCCTTATCTACCCTTATCGCGTGAAGCGCTCGAGGTGAATGACAGCTGTGGGTGCGTGGGCGCTTACTTAGGCGCTGTAACATACCACTTGACCGCTTGGCGCTTTTCCGTCCGGGTCCGCACCTGGCAGAAATCTGATAGAATGCCCAAAGAATGCCTGACATGACTCGTACAGCAGTATAAATATCGGCCAGTCACCGGGAAACAGACGCCTCCCTCTTGTTCTCAAACCACCATGCCGAACAAGCCTAAGCGAACGACTCGGGGAACTCCTTGGGCCTCTGTGCCGCCTCAGCCAAGCGGCTGGGGCGATAACTGGGGCAGTGATGCAGGATGGGGCAACGATGCAGGCTGGGGCGCCCCTCCCATACCCCAGCCTCCTCCCCGTGCAGGCTGGGGCGCGCCCGCGAAACCCCAGCCTCCCCGTCCATGTGCTTGTACTTACATGTCCCCACCAAAGGAAATATCGACAAAGAACGTCGGGGATGATGCACATTCATCCGACTCGAACCCAGGCACAGAGGAAGCGTTCGATGGGATCGTGGAACGGAAGGAACACTATCTCGTACGGGAACAAATCTGGTAAGCTCCTTCCCCGTCGATTCATCATGTACTTAACGAAATTGGCGTATCACAGGTTTGAAGGATCGCAGCGATGGTCCCCCTATGATTCTTCGCGCTATGAGATCTCAGTGCCCGAGCCTGATCTAGGAAACTACTTTTACGTCAACCTTCGGCACCTTATCCCTGGGGGTAAGTTTGGTCCCCACCCCAGCGTGGTAAACCTCTGACGCTGCCCACCAGACGAAGGGGAACTCGTTCTGAGCAACTTTAGTGAAACTCTTCTCAAATTCTTGAGGCAAGTATTTTGCCCACCACATGTTCGATAATGCCCATTAAATGAATAGAACCTTCTATGGCGACGAATTTTATGATGATTCCCCAGAGAGATCTACGGACACCTTGCTACCGGATATTCCCATTCTTCAGTCCAAGCTCGAAGACATCGACTTGCATTTGAGAGCAGAGCCCTCAGATTCGAATATCGCGGATAAGCGCACGTTTGCAGCGTCCCTCGGATGTCAGGAGGCAAAGAATGGTATTGACACTATATTTCCTCCCAGATATGATACTTACTAGTCACCTTCAAGCCATGCACCCGGAGAGTCATATCGATCAGTTCTTGAACGACGCGCGGGAGCACTTGTCTGTTTTGACCAATTATCTTTTGGAACTCTACAAGCCAAAGTAAGCCAGACCCACTTGGTATTTTCTAACGTTCAACAATCATTCTCAGGGCGGAAAAGCTGGCTCTGCAACTCTCCGACGGGTGCATTGAATTTGATCTCCTGGTATTTTATTTCGAGCTGGAGCAGCGGTATTGCTTATACTCGGAGGATATCAATATGGTGCTTGGATTCTTTCCTACGAATTTCTTCAATTTACAAGTTACTCCCAGACCGCTGGTTTCTGCTTGGAGCGTCGCACCTACGACAAGTTCGTCGTGAATATACGTTTCAAGTTGTACTGCCCTGACCGCCTATAATAGGTCCAATTTGACGGTGCATCTATCGGGAAGTGCTTACTCCTGGAGCGGTCATTTTTATTCGGAAACTCCGGTGCAATGCGCCATCTCTTTCTACCATGTTCGTTGCGCCCCCGCCAATTACAGACGCTCCACTTAATTCCTCATCTTAGGGAACCAGAGACCTCGACTCCCTTCCATGCCAACCTCTAACGCCGGAAGTCGAGGCAGCGCTCGTCGTCCGGGGGCGATTATACACCGCACTGTCCGGATGCCACTACCGCGCGTGTAAGTGCAGGCGATATCCCTCGTCCGACCTCTCCGTACTCACCTCATCTTTCTTTCTTTCTTTTTACAGACCATAATGTGTGTCCGAATGCTCGGATGTCTAATCTTTTCTGACGCCAGAAAACTGTAGGATCGCATCATAGTGGATGGGATTGGGCACCAAGATCCCAATCACGTTGTCCGTGAACCGTACGTCGTGTAATCTCTAGCCAGCATTTCTCGACCACGACAGCAATTTAGGAACGAAGAGATACCCGATTTTCCCGAGGAGAATCTGTGGCTGCTACCTGGTTACGTTCATGGCTTCAATCTCACCAAAAAGGTAAATGCCTTTTCAACACTGTGGCAATACCTAGCTGACTGGTCCCATCCCAGACGTGGTCTACATTCCGCGTCACCGAAATCGAACCGATCTCCTTTGACGAAAATGCCTGGGATCATCTCGTGTTGGATCCTGAGACCAAGGTGAATGAAGAGATGTGTGGTTTCGTGGGTTGGTTCCAACCGCCTCGCAGGTTCTCATCAAGTCTCTTGTTCAAGTCACCCGGAACTCGAACAGGGCCGCATCCAAAATCATCACCGATGTTATAACCGGTAAAGGCGGTGGTCTTGTGAGTCACATCCATTGATTCTTCCAATGATTCAAGATACTCAACCCTTGTAGATCTGCGTCCTTCATGGCCCTCCGGGAACCGGCAAGGTTTGCATTGATCGTGTTTTAAACGCGATTACTGACCTATAACACCCCAACAGACTTTGACCGCGGAAGCTGTCGCAGAGCATTTAAAGCGTCCGCTCTACATTGTCGGGACAGCGGAGCTATCCACTAAGCCCCAGGAGCTGGAAGCGAAACTCAAGTCGATCCTCAGCGTAATGCCATCAAATTTTGGATGAAACAAGTTTACTAACAGGTATGCACAGCTCGCCACGGCATGGGACGCGGTGCTGCTCATTGATGAAGCAGATGTGTGTTATTTACTCGTCTTGCAGCGTATGCTGACTGTGTATTCTTTGGCAGGTCTTGTTGGAGCAACGGAGCCTGCATGAGGTAGAAATCTCGTGCCCAGTATGATTCGGGTCGTTGATGACGTTGCTCACAGATCGAGCGCAATTCCTTGGTATCGGTTGCGCTGCGGGTCCTCGAATACCATCAAGGCGTGCTATTCTTGACAACGAACCGTCTCAAAGCCTTTGATGTCGCGTTTTTATCCCGCTTCTCCATCGGTGGGTCGATAAGTCGCACCACAATTGGTTGTTCATGTACGTACAGCGATCAAATACCCGGAGCACGATCTGCACTCCCGCCGAGTCATCTGGCGCAAATTCTTCGAGCTTGCTGGTGTGAAGACGAAGGATGCCAACGAGTCTGGGCGCTCGACTCCGACGGACATGGTAATGCTTGACGATCCCGCCAAGGTTGCCAGCATGTCGGAAGCGGAACTGGATGAGCTCGCGGAGAAGCCGTTCAACGGGCGGACAATCAAGAACCTTGTCCGCACAGCGCAGGCTCTAGCGCTTTCGGCGTGGGTACCACAAAGCACATGTCCCAACAAGTACTTACCAACAGAACAGGGACGAGCCGATGTCAAAGGCACATGTCGATATCGTGGTCAGGTCGCAGGAAAAGTTCTTGCGAGAATTCGCAACTGCGTCAAGCGTGGAATAAGCGAATGCGCTGAGTGACTGACATGTAAATTAAATTACCCGTGGCGGGTTGTATTGAGTTCAACATTCGGTTAACATGTGTAAATACGATGATCTTCAAGTTGAGTTTACAAAAGAACAGCTGCGTAGGAGAATAAGAATATGCTCCTCAATTTAGGTGCCCTCGAATCGGTACCATCGAAAATATTTCCGTGCGTGAAATTGAAGTGCAATGCTCCCGCCGGATATTAGCGGCCAGGTCGGTCCCCGCCTTTGTTTCGCTGCGGTAACCAGTGAGCTTGCTCCAATCCACCGCGTCTGACACGCCGTTTGTGTCTGTCCCCAGCAGCGGGTCGTATCGGCCTTTGAAGATCGTGCTCGACAGTTGCAGGAACGGAGTGGGCCCTACCTGTAGGAATTTTGATGTGAGTGAATGCGGCAGTGGAATCCAACCGTGGGAAAAAGCGCGGGAATGAAAATTAAAAACAATCCTGCCCACTACCCGAGTTGAACGAGTGATCTCGGCATATGCTAAACACCCAGAAAGGCAATTTATACAAGTGCCGCGCTGTAACCACTTAGCCAAGAGGGCCTTAAACGCTCACGCCAGTGAGCCAGAATGATAGAGCGCGAAATTCCGAGTCGAACAAGTCCAAGAACGGTGGGAATCGAAAAACAGATGGCCGAGATAGACCTAAAACAAAGTTCAGCTACGGTCAGCGGCCATGTGTCACCCTGGCAATGCAACGGCGAAATTTTGGGGCATGTCCCTGAGTGATATCGAGGGTTGAACTTGAACATGTCGGCGGAGCAATCCAACATTTGGTGCTTATGTAAATTTCACCGACGGGATCCGTCGGCCAAATTTCTTGGGTCGAGTAAGGAGAGTAGAGGGGTAAAAAAAACATGCGAACAAAACTCTACTAGTACTGTAAACCGAGAGTAGAACGACATCGAGTGATCAGTGTGATCGCTGATGGCATCAAGTGTTCGGCAAACATACAGCTCATAACCTCTTTGCAACTCACGTTGAACGTTGAACAGAGCTCGTTGGTACCCCTTTCGCCCCTCCCCTCCCACCTGTCAAGCACCTTCAATACACGGCACGCTCTGACCCCTAATCCAGAACTGGCCTGTGGATGCACAGGAAGGCTTTCAATGGCTGATAGCCTGATACTGACGGTAGTAACCTCGGGCTATGTCAAGTTCGTCGAGCATTACCTCGCGAACCAACTTGCCCAAACGCGCAGCTACGCCTTGTCCTTTGACGCGTGGGAAGTCGGTTATGTAATCCTGCGTCAACCTCAACTCTTCACTGCAGTCACCGCCGCGGTGTTGGTATACCGCCCGGCAGTTCTTGGAATCGCATCCTCCAGCCACAGTGGCTTCACCTGTTCCAACTTGCGGGACTTTGTCTCTGCTCTCAACGTCCTGTCGCTGCCAAGGACCACGTATTTTCTTTTCCAAACGCGATGATTCGACGTCTGCGATTCCCGGATCCAATTAACCCAATTGCGCTCGCCAATTCACTTCAATTCACTATCCATCGACAATCAGTCGGGTTCTTCGTCTTTTCGGCTCTCGTCGACGTTCCTCGTGCCGGTATCCCGATGTTTCGAAGCTGTCGGGCGGAAGCAACCACGCGTATCACGCGTCATGGATTCCTTTTGGGCAGTCGATCGGCCACTGTACTGAGGTTTTGGATCGGATTCTGTGTCAATGGCGATCGGCCGGGAAGGAATGGCTGCGTCCGGCCTCGAAAGAACCACGCCCGGCGAGATTTGGGACGGATTCTTCTGCAAATTCAGGCCCGTTCCCGCTCTGCTGCGCCCGAAATTATCCAGACCGCGGCGATATTTTGTGCAGACTTTCGGACCAGCGCCGTGAATCGCACCGGCTCTTCCTTCCTCTTCCTCTTCCTCCCGCAGCCCCAGTGAGACAGTGTCAAAGAGAATGGAATTCCGAGTCGAACAAGTCCAAGAACGGTGGGAATCGAAAAACAGATGGCCGAGATAGACCTAAAACAAAGTTCAGCTAGTGTCAGCGGCCATGTGGCGGTGCTGTGTCACCCTGGCAATGCAACGGCGAAATTTTGGGGCATATTCTTAGGCCTGAGTGATGTTGAACGTTATGTCGGGGGAGAATCCAACATTCGGTGCTTATGTAATTTTTTTTTCACCGACGGAATCCGTCGGCCAAACTTCTTGGGTCGAGCAAGGAGAAAAAACAATAAAGGTAGGAGAGTGCTGCAAACGGACAGTAGAAGTTCATAAAACGGACAGCAGAAAGTCCATAATTAGAGCGATCAGTGTGATCGCTGATGGCATCAAGTGCTTGGCAAACATACAGCTCACAACAGGCTCTTTTGCAACTCACGTTGAACGTTGAACAGTTGAACTCCTCACCCATCCCCTCCCACCTGTCAAATACCTTCAACCCACGGCACGTCCTGACCGCTAATCCAGAACTCCTCAACCACCCTCCATTCGATTGTTTCTCCAATGTCCTTCACCGGGACCGTCAGGCCCTTCTGGGAATCTTGTATCGACCAGGAGATTCTTGATTTCTTTACCACCCACTGGGGCAAATCAACGGCCAACCACATACCTATAGAAAAAGCCACCATGCATGATGAGCCTTCCCTCATTGAGATGGCCCAGATAATGAACGCCGAAAGGGGCTTGTACATCACAGACAGCGACAACGAGAGCGGCACCGCAGAAGACGACGCCGCACGTGGCACAGCCCTATATAAAGAACTCGGTGCCCAAGAGTTCTTCAAGATTCCATCCCTACTGGGCGATGGGAATCGATTGCAGATGGTCGTGTTCAAAGAATACATCCTCCTACATGACTTCATCTCCAAAGTCATGGAATCGCCCCAGGATGCCATGATCACAATTTCTGGCTCCAAAGGCATTGGTGCGTTCACCTCCTCAAATTCATACCTCTTTCTGATTGTCGTCTAGGCAAAACGTTGTCGCTGTATTATCTCTTAATACGACGGCTTCAGGCCAAGAAACCTACGATATTCTCTCGAGGCGGGATGTCGTTTTATTTCGACACGGACGGCGTGCTTTATTCCAGTCAAGCGACCGACAGCCAGAGCCTTCGAAATTACCTTCGAAATTGGCGGATGTTGGAGCAGCCCGACGTCGTTGTTCAACGCGTGATGGTCCTCGTGGATGCAGATGGCGCGAACGACGAATGCGAGTGGTTCAAAAAAATGACAAACTGGACAACCGTATTTGCCTCGGCGACTTACCAGGCGCTCAAACCCATCCCCGGGCTGCGAAGATACATAATGAACCCCCCGGAGCTAATAGAAATGTGCGGAGCGTAAGTCTAACCTTCTTATTTATTTCGGACCTACTAATATGTCTTTGTTACAATGTTAGCTTACGTGTCTACCCGTGGCTTGCGTTCCAAGCACGTGGGCATCTGGTCTTCTTTTCGGCTCTCCTCGAGGCGGTCCGGATTTTTGGGCCGTGCCCTGGTAGTCTTTCCTCTGGTAAGGTATAGAAAAGACGGCTTTCCGGCAGCTGAACCGCCAGGAGACTCCGGTCCCCCTGAGTCTTCACGTCAAGAGGAACTGCTCTACTACATACCGGCCATGATCAGGGAGTGCCCCTGGGAGCAATTGGAAGCCTTCGTGGCCAACGGAAACCTATCCAGCGCTCTAGCCAAGCTCCCCTCCTTTGTCATCACCCGCGGCGACTTGGTGTATAAACCGCGTCTGCGCTTTGCAAGCGCACGACTTGGGGAGATGTTTTTCGAGCACGTTCCCCCGAGACGCAAAAACTGGCTGCTTCAACAATTCTGGGTGCTACGGAACAATCCGGACACTCCCTCCTGGCCATACTTTGAGCGCCTCGCTGGCAGTATCATTACCGGAAGCATTGGCTGTCAAACCCGATGGGCGCGAATGGAAACGGAGGTTATAACTTCCGCGGATAAAGCTTTCGTGGAGGACAGAGCCGGAGGGCAACAGGAGTTCCATAGCCGAGTCCTTGCCTCCGCAAACGCTCCTATCCAGATGGAGCAATTTGATTCCGAAACCATCGCTCGCCGCCCAAATTCGCCGTTGAAGAGATCCCGCTCTAGTACCTCGCCATCGCAGGAGCCAGTGGCCAAACGATCCAAAACAGAACGGGAAGCGACCGAACCCAGTACTGACCACCAGGAGGAGTCTCGGGGTGGCTCTGCGGAGCCAGCAGCGCCGGAGCCTGGCATCCCATCGTTCCCTCGCAAGGTCCCGGAGGGACCTTTGACAAAGGATACCCCTCACCCCCTGCCGCTGAATATCTATTTCACGGCGGCTAACAAAATGTTTCCTCTGGTCGACGCCGCCATACACTTCCCTAATCATGGAGTCGTCTTTCAAATCTTCGACAAAAAGGGCGAGGGCCGACATCGCATGGCGATTTCAGGGATACCACAAGTTCGACAAATGTTTGCAAAGGATCTCCCCATTGTCTTTGTCGCGGTCATACCTAAGGGCAACAACGCGAGGTTGATGGTACCTGCCGGCGCGTTCACCGACTGGCTTTTTTACTCATTGGAGCTCGATATACCCAGCGCAAACATCTCTTGAGGTACATCGAAGGGGCGGAGGAGGTGCGTAGTGGAAGGGGGGAAGCCAGGGGAGTCGAACGAGTCCGCGAAAGCAATTGGGCGAGATACGGCAGAAATATTTTTTAGGGTCGGTTACATCGTCAAACAGTGATAAATGCTGCCAGAAAAGTCGAATTCGATTGGTGAGGTTGTCCGTTGAACAGAGGACCGCGATAGATGTCCAGAGCAAAGAGGGCTGCCTCGGCAACGGCCGGCCGAGCAAGGCAAACGTGCACAAATAGATCGGCTCCAGACCTCCTTGACCACCATAGCCCATGTCTAAGTACATGTTCCTGGCTCGCTTCCATAGTTGATTGAACTTGGAGCTACGGCCTGCCCCCAATTTCTCGATTTGTCAGAAACAAACGCTACTAGTACTAAACGCAGACTGAACCGTAACGCAACTTCAACTTTGAAGTGACAAGTCCGACTCAAGAGTCTCGAACAGCCTCCAAGTAGTCAAGAATTTCTTTTAAAGTCCCACCAAGACAACGGGCGTATCCTCTCGTCTTCAAAGATCCCGTCCGAATCCTTTGGAGGGCCGACCCTCTTTCTGAAAATTCAAGATAGCGTCGCTGTCCTCACAGGCCCCGCGAAACTCCTGCCAAGGGTTGTCCGCCAAAAGTGCCCGATCTTGGCCTGAAAAATCCTAGCTGCGAGCACCTGTTGGGCCTCACAAATCCTATTTCGGACAAGGGTGGTCTCAGGAAGTGCCGAAAATTCGTTATTTTGGAGTCTGTTTTGCCAAATTTTTCGCAGCTTGGCGTTCGATACGTGTAAAACAGCATAGTTCTTGCCGTTATTGCGATTTCCGCGCTGACCGTTGGTTCATCGGTTGACGATTGCAAGAAGAGCTCCAACCCATCCAAATCCTGGCCTAGAAAATCCTATTGGCGGACAAGGATCTGCGATTTTCGGTCTCAAAAATCCTATCTGCAGACAATGAATTCCGCAAATTTCGCCCTCAAAAATCCTATT